AAAACCTGTAAACAACCGCTATATAAAAGAAATCAGGGTAAATTGAAATTACCGCATTGTACGCAAATAAAATGTGGGTGCTCCCAAAAGCTTGAGCCTTAATGTCTGCATACTCCAGTTCTCAAGTAAGAAGGTTGTCAAAAATTGACCTGATGCTTTAAACAAACACCCCTATATGCCACAAATTCAACAGACAGTCTTAAACGATTTGCAAAAGGTGCATATGAAGACAATGAATTACCCCTTAGAAAGGGCGGCTTTTCACTTCCTATGCAGCTACTTGACCAAGCGTATAAACAAGTGCATAGTCATTCTCTCCACCAAATAAGTACATTTTCACAGTCCCTCCACGAAATTTGCAAACAAATCAATTTTTTTTAATATTTGATACGCTCTTTTGTGTATTCCTAGATGCAATGAATTTGATCGCTTTCCTATCGAGATTGAAGTAAAAATCTCCTGCTCAAATAAATCTGGTCCAATCTTGAACTTATAATAATAAGGCGATAACAAGCGAAGTCGTCAGCAAAAATAGTTGTCAAATTAAGGTAGTAGTATATAATGAACAAAATGGAAAAGTACGTCGATAAATTTTAAGATATTTACGAGTAGACCCCAAAGTAGAGGGCTATAGAATTTTGCATCTAACTATAAACTCAATTCTTAAAATAGCCGTATGAGTTTTTTAAAGTAACTATAAACAAACGGCTTACGTGTTTCTGGAAAATTCTACTACCTAAGTACACAGGAATTATGAATGGCGGTTCACCAAATATTTCAAAAACTACGTTCAAAAAATCTCTCCAGAATAATCCCTACCTATCCATTTCGTATTAATTAACGACTCTTTCAAAATGGCGTCTAGTACTGAACATTTTTTTTCAAGAGAAAATTAGAGTCGCTACCCCCTCCCCCCGAATTACGCGCGAGTTAGGCCCTTCATCATCATCTCACGCGTTTGGTTTTTGTGCAAGTTAGCATTCCCATTAGCAGGTAATGCCCACACCCTTATTTTGCGTTTTTAAGCACCTAGAACTAATTAAAATATACTTATCTATGGTAAAATACCGACCGATGGAAGCGAACGGTGTCCGGGACTCCAGGTTACTGCATTATAGAATTCAATTACGCGCAAGCAATAATCGGGGAACTACGAACTTCTTCACAAACCTGAATTTACTAAAAATTTTGAAATTATCAACATTATAATTCAACCACCATTACTCTCTACTATCAAACTTACAACACTGCGCACCCCTAGCGAACTTTTAACTCGACAAAAAATTGAGAACAAATCAACCCCCATCAGAAAGTTCCTGTTACATATTTTAATTATGTGGTAGTATTTAGTTTAATTGATCCTCAAACTCTTGATGAAGCTGTTGCATGCTGAGCAGTGGAAGCAGGCTATACAGGAGCTTTGATTAAAAATAAAACTTGGTAACTGATATATTTGCCATCAGGTAAAAGAACATTGCCATGTAAGTGGGTATTTAAAAGTATAACTAATGAGACAAGACTGATTATTAAAGGGCATGCCCAGAGAAAAGGAAATGATTGAGACGAAGTCGATGCTCCGTTGTAAGATATACCTCAGTTCGATTCTTGCTTGCTCTAGCTGCCATAACCCAGAAATTATTCAAATGGGTGCCATAGGTGCCTTTCTTCAAGGTGACACTAAGTGCAATCTCGATAATCCGGCCGCGCCTTAGTCCGGCACGTTCGGTAATCCGGCGTCTTTGGGACGACGATGTCATTTTTGATCAAATGCACATAGCAAAGAAACAAAAAAAACAATTGTAAGCATTTTCTTTTTATGTACATACATTTTCATAGTAAAATTGGCGTGTTTTTCGTATTAGTCTCGATAATCCGAATTCTTTGATAATCCGGCGGTTGCGTGGTCCTATATCTGTCGGATTATCAAGATTCCACTGTACTATGAAGAGAATGCCCAGATTTGTCATCTTCATAAATCTATTTCTGGACTCGGGGAGCAAGCTAGTCGGCAGTGGAATCTAAAATTGAACAATGTTCTACTTAAAATTGGTTTGGAAAGATCTAAAATTTATCCATTGTTACAAACCGAAAATATTAATATTAAGATTACACTTTCTTAGAGAGTCAAATTTACATGTGAATGGTTGTAACATGATAGCAGATAATATAACGAAGGGGGTTACACTAGTAAAACATTCGTACTGTATTAGTAAAATGGGTTTGCGGAGGGAGTGTTGGGAATTAAGAACGTAACCATATTTGGTTTTGTAACGTAGGCAACGTGGTTGTTGTATGAATTGTCACTTGTAATTATGACGCTTCTACGAATTTTAAATTTCTCACCCCTTCTACCCCAAAATACAGAACGTTCACAAAACATTCAGAATTAACTGCAAGAACGGCGTCTTGATATCTTCACAATTGGAGGTGCAGTGAAGACAGATAAATGTAAACTAATACTGCATCATTGTCTAGAAGTAAATGCCTGTGCTTTTTTATCGCCCAGTAGGATTTTGAACTATCTTCAGGAAACTACCTGGGATGAAAGTCTTTGTGGTTTGCAACTTTGTATTTTATGCGAACATAAAACTCGCACCTTCAGTACGTAGAAGAGCAGTATAGTAAAATTTACCAATTTTGCTGTTATTTGAGGTTGTCTTTTTACTAATTGCATTACCGTTAATAATGTATATACCTACATTTCAATACTCCGTATGAATTAAAGAAAATAAATTGCATTTCTATGTGGATCAGAGAAATATGGAAAGATGAGTAACATTAATTAAGGATGCAGCTCTTTGAGTGCAATACTGCATTTCTTTAGAGAATGTAATGAGTTCGTCCACTTTGAAATTCTGTCTGTGAAACTAAGGGAGTCCATACTATTACTATACGTTTACTACATACAAAACGGAAAAAGATGTATTTCCAAAAATCAATAATAGTGCGTCACGATGTCTCATAGCGTCACAACATACGTCGCGAACAACATATGCGAACGCGTGTCTGCTGGCTTGCTACACCGATGTTAAAATTCAATGAAAGCGAAGGCGTAGATACTAAAGGACGAAAATTTCATGATAAATTGCAAAAGGCTTTGAACGTTACCTACTTATAAACTTAGTTAAAGTAATAATGATAGTCAATTTACCCCGATTCGAACTATTATACTTAAACAACGTAAGCTGCTTTTATATTCTTAGTACATAGAGGAAAACTGTTCAAAGAGCTTAATATTTAAAAGAACTTGCGATTGCAGCAGATTTTCAGTAGATAATTAAAAATGTAAAACGTAGATTAAACCATAAACTTATAGAACAACAAACTTCGAGTCAAAAAATTTGCAAAGAACCACAATTCGCTAAAATTGACGAATTTGAAAATAGAGATTCATTGAATCTTATAAGTATCTTGTAAATAATGATGGGAATTAGTGGCCAATGCATGTAGCCGGTTTACTTATTCCAACTTTTTCGCACCCCACACAGTCTGTACTGGAACTTTTTATGAAAAATACGCTCAAAAAGACTTTCTCCTAATTTTGAGAATAATATATTTCGCATTGTCGCTTAAAGTGGCGTTTAGGTACATTGAAAAATTGGAAATTTGTTTCTACAATAACTGCCTTCTGGGTACAAATTTTTGGTTGAAATAACATTCATTCAAATATATAATGTTCCTACATTTGCATGAAACAACAATTATTTAGCTAATTCCTTTACTTTCGCCATTATTGAGGAAAGAAGTTCTTAAAAACTCCCATATAAAATATATAT